CTTGGAAAAATGATTGCTTTATCTGTATATCTGCACCCCAACGCCACGATAGGAGAGGTCTCAAATGATCTTGATGAGATGTCTGGGCTAGTGCAATCGGCACCAAATGGAATAAGTCTCCACGTGGGTGGCGATATGAACGGCTGGCATGTTAGCTGGGGTTCAAGATGCAACAATACCAGAGGCACTATGATCGCTGAGTAGGCCGCACAAAATGGCCTAGAACTATTAAACCAGGGAAATACGCCCACTTTCAGCAAGGGTGGCAGATCAAGTATTGTCGATGTCACCTTCTGGAAAGCAGGAGCAAACAATATTAATGCGGACTGGAAGCTACTTGACGAAGATTCCGCGAGCGACCACAGAACCATAATCTTTCATACTAGTCTAACCTTGAAAGAACATAGGCCACCTCATAGACAAATTAGATGGAATAACCATGTCACCGCAAGATTCAGAGACAGGCTCGCTGAATCCATGCTTACTGTCAGGGAAAACACTATAGAGGCAATTGAAAAAGCACTAAGAAATGCATGCGATAGTGTTAGGCCCAAAGGGTGACCACGGAAAGACACCGTGTATTGGTGGACACCTCAAGTCTCCGATGCTCTTAAAGTCAAAAATGCTGCACATCGCAGGCTTGCGAGGCTACACAAGAGAGGTGCACCAACGGAGGAAGAGACTGCCGCCAGACAAGAACTGGTAATAGCCAGGAGAGCTGCTAAACGCGCAATTGAGGCTGCAAAAAAAGATTCGTTCAGAAATCTCATTAACGAGGTGGAGAACGACATTTGGGGCACGGCATATCGTCTTGTGACAAAAAGATTTGGCAAACAGGTGAGCCCGGTAGTGCCGGATAACATTACAAGAGTGCAGGTAGAAGACTGTTTCCTGACACACCTATAATTAGATGGGAGCTAGATTCAACTGATGGAAATAGTATCCCTCTCATCGAACGAACGGAGATAAAAATTGCGGCAGCCACCCTGAAAATCCACAAGGCTCCAGGACTTGACAACATTCCTGCAGAGGCGGTAAAGATTTTGGCAGATGATTATCCCGAAGAGCGGGCAGAGGCCATGACAAAGTTACTGCGCGAGGGACGTTTTCCTGATCAGTGGAAAAGTTCACGAGTCGTTTTGATTCCCAAGCCGGGAAAAGACCCAGGAGAGCCTGGAGGCCTACGACCAATCTGTTTAATCAGCGCGATGGGCAAATTACTTGAGCGTATAATCCATACCAAATTGGAGGAAAATATGACAGCCAATAATGAAGAACTGAACTCAGAACAGTACGGGTTTCGCAAGGGATGCTCCACCGTGGAGGCTGTTAAGAGAATTTTGCAGCTCGCTGAGAGCGCAAAGGCTGGTGGATACAGGCACAGGGAGACCTGCCTGATGGTAGCTTTGGACGTGAAAAATGCGTTTAACACGGCCAGGTGGGACATAATTATAGAAGAGCTGGAGAGAAGGAGAATACAGAAATATTTACTCAACATCGTAAAGAGTTATTTCTCCAAACGGGTGGTTCTTACTGGGAGTGGTTACAGTAAGATAGTCAGTATGGGAGTTCCACAGGGGTCAGTTTTAGGACCTTTTTTGTGGAACATCATGTATGATCCGGTTCTCGCCATCGATCAACCCAGTGGCGTCTACACGATAGCCTTTGCGGAAGACTTAGCCGTTGTGTCTATAGGTAAAGGTCTGGATGAAGCGAAGAGACTTGCAACGATAGCCGCTCAAAATATGAGGCAGTGGATAGAAAGCAGAAGGCTAGAACTAGCTCCTGAAAAGACCTGTGTTTGCAGACTGACCGGCAGAGCAATACTGGTAGGGGCTTTGGAGGTCAACATTCTGGGAGTACGAGTGCCAATTAAGGACGAGATTAAATACTTGGGCGTCTGGCTAGACAAAAATGGCACCTTTGTCTACCACACTCAGACAAAGGCAAAGAATGCAGCGGAGAGTGCAAGAGCTCTAACAAGACTCATGCCGCGCGATGGTGGCGCCGGCGATTGGGCACGCAGGATGCTGGCAACTGCACACGCGTCGGCTGTGCTGTATGCTGCACCCACATGGGCAGAAACCGCTCTAAAGCTGGCAAAGAATGTTGACGCTCTAAACCGGGCACAGAGGACGGTGCTCCTATATGTAAACAGGGCAAACAGGACAGTGTCCACAGAAGCACTACAAGTGCTCGCTGGGATAATGCCTCTAGACCTACAAGCTAGATATAGGAGCGAATCTTACGGGTTAGAAAAAGGTGCCATCAAGGCAAAAAAAGAAAAATTCCTGGAGCTGTGGAATAGAAGATGGCAAAGCAGTGATCGGGGCGGATGGACTCGGCGCTGGATATCAGACCTGACACCAGGGCTACGGAGAGACCATGGGAGACTGACCTACTGCTTGGTGCAGTTTCTGAGCGGACATGGTACGTTCGCTGCCTACAGGCATCGCATCGGAAAAGCTGCCTCTCCTCACTGCGGAGCTTGTGGCGATGTAGAGGATGCCGGGCACGTACTATTGGAATGCGACCGACATGCGGCACTGAGAACTGAGACGGAAGCCATCACAGGACCTCTGACTGAGGGAAGCCTCATCACGGTTATGCTGCGTGATGAGCACTGCTGGAAAGCTGTTGACAAGCTGTGTCTCGACATTCTTATTGAAGTCGACGAGGTAGTTGCCGCAAGACGTAATAGAACTATGTAAATTGTCCTGCATGGGCCCCTGTCTGTGATAATCGATTCTGTGATAATAAAGATTTAAGTTTAAGCGAGCTACTAGAGCGATTCAACGTCGACGGAGTGACTAGTAAAGGTAGGAGTGGATGCATCCGTATGCCTCACGGCGATCGACATCCACTCCTAGCATAGGAGAGGGGTTTAGTGGGTATTATGCGGCTAATATCGCATTGTCGCATCGAGCCCCACACTTCGGCGGTAAATCGCTTCCCCTCTTCTCTAACAAAAAAAAATGTGTCGGCGGTATGGCACCCAGGTTTCGCTTCCATATAACATGGTGGGAATTATTATTGCTCGGTACACTGCAAGTTTCGTTTTTGTGCTCAAGTCATGATTGTAGAAAACCCTGTCTTTTAATTTCCAGAATTCTCTTGAGGCGCTGCTAATTCTGTGCTGAATTTCAGAGTCGATATTGGCCTTTTCCGAAATCAAACTGCCGAGGTTATTGAACTCCGCTACATATTCCAATAGTTCTCCGATTTTTATAGCATTGTTATGATCTTCTGGGGGAGTGCACATGATTTTAGTTTTATCGATGTTCAGCTTAAGTTCCAAAGCCTCGTATGCCCATGTATATGTGTTCAACATTTCTTGCAATTGCTGTAACGTATTTGCAACTAGAGCAGTCATCAGCGTATTGAAGTTGTGTGATGAATTTTGTAGGTGTTTTTGCCCTGAGTCGTTTTATGTTGGAACAGACCGCCGTCGTATCTGTATCTAATGCCCAAACCTCTCTCCTGCAATTTGCTGTCCACTATAATGGAGAGCACTGCCATGAATATATTGAATAGGAGAGGCGCCAAGACACATCCCTGCCTAACGCCTGTGTTTGTTAGGAAGGGATCTATAACCACTTAATCTGACGCTAGATTCCATGCGCTTGGGAAAATACTTGCCTTCTGTCTTTATTCAGTACATCTTATTTTACTAAGCGTGTTAACCGTACTCTTCGTACACACGAAAACCGGCACTCAAGGCCGGGAATGCCGACCCTAGTATAATGTAGGCAATGGATAGTAAGGCGTTGCTTACACCAAACAAAATCTTTCTTTTTTATATCATTACAACATGTTTTTTTTTTCATATCATTACATTATTGCATATATTACGACCGGAAAAGAAGTGAAGATATAAGAGAAATATGTGAAATACAGGATGTTTTGATTAAGATCGGCAAGAACAGACTGAGACAGATAGGACTGATAATAAGATAGACAAGAAACAGAAGAACAGAGTGGAGAGGCAATGTGGACAGAATGCCAAATGACTAGTTAGCGAAAATTGCTAAGGAGAAACGACCCCAGTCCTCGGCCGCCTGGACGACAACCTATAAAAGGGTATGAAAGGTGGTCTTCATTCTTAAGTTCCGCTTTAAGTTGGTTTCCACTTGGAAAGCAGAACGGTTCTGGTCCAGTTAGTGGAGTATTCGCTCCTTTTCTACCTAGATCGTTTGCTTTTTCATTGCATACCTTGGCGAGCTGGTACTCAGAATAGGAGGACTTTATTTTCTTTGCCTAATTTGTTCAGCTTCTCTAGGCATTCTTTGGCCAACTTCGAATTGATGGTTACTGAGTTCATCGCTTTTAGTACATCTTGACTATCGGGTAAGATGGCTATTTCCTGTTTCCGATAGTTCTTATCCGAAGATAAATTGTAGGCATCTTTCGATAGCGTAGATTTTTGCCGGAAGGATGCTGGGGTAGGTGCCTATTGGTTTAGAATATTTAATTTTCAGCCTATTCCTGTCCCTGCTTTCGTTTTGGAAGCATTAGTATACCACATTATGATATGGCCTGTAACTGCTGAGCAAACGTTTCTCTCTTCTAATCCTTTTTATTGCTCAATACTGCAGTGAGGTTTTTCTCAAAGTTGTACATTCCTGGTACATCATCCACTGGGAGTTTTTGGTGAGTTCACCAAGCCCCTGAGCTGACATATTATTTCCCAGTACTGTTTCCGCCAATGACCATCCTAATCATTGTCGCATTTCTACCGATAACAATGCGCAGTGGTGTTAGGTCTATAATAACCTCCATTGTTGCTGTTGGGCATGTTCATTAATTACTTACGCTGTTTTTATTTTATTTTGCTAATTTTTGTCTACCTTGCTTTGATTTGCACTGCCACGCCACCGCATCTATACAATGTTCACTGCCACTTATCCCCAAAAAGGAAATTTATATATTGTGTAATATTTTTTTCCTTGACTAACTTGAATAACTTTAATAAATAAATATAATAAATAATTTTTACACACCTAATACCAAATCTCTTCCATCAGGTAAAAGATAATTTTCTACATCATGGTATTCTCTATCCTTCTCAGGTATGAAACACAGATTTTCTTTAATTTTCTGAGCTTCTTCTGGCCTAAAAATTATGTGAAAAAATTAGAATTATGTTCAAAACATATCGCTTAGTTTTATAATTAGATACTTCTAAATATTATTGCAGCAAGGTATGTATTAGAAAATTTGAACGTGAGTGAAACTAACGATTAGCGATATCCAATACGTTAATCTTCCTAAACAGCTTATTGAAATGCACTATGAAGATGAACCATTTGAAAGTTGAAAGATAATGCAGATCTGCTTATACATAAACTATTTTGTATGTGAAGAATGGCTTGCTATATGCACTGAATATCACTAAGTATTTATAGATGTAGATAATTCATTCGGAAAAAGAAAGTTATATCTAAAAATGTTGTTTTTTCTTTTATTACTGGAACTGAATAAAAACATGTAGATAGAGAGTCATTGGAGAATATTGGATTTCAGCTTGGATAAAACGTGTTAGATTTAGTAAAAAAATATATTATGGTCTTAGTTAATACTAATAAAATAAACATAAAATCTGGTATTTACTAGCATCGATATTTTGCTGGGATTTTATAAGGAATTAATAATTTATAATATGTACATAGAAGTTTTTAAATTTCGAATATACGGTAATATACCAAATACAAGTATTGTAGTATTTCTTTTTCAATATTCGCATTTGCATAGAAACTTTGAAACTGCAATTCTTCTAGATAACGCCAACATAGTACTTCATTACCTCAATAATCTTTATTTTAACTTACAACAACTAATAATAATTAATATAAATAATCAACATTATTTAGCACTAAATTATAAGATTTAAACATAGATACCTTTTTGTTCATGTCAATTTTCTTTTAAGTTACAAATTGTAAAGCCATATTAAGTGGAAAAAATTGCAGTACTATGGTTCATTTTTTCTCTTTAGTTAATAATAACTAGTAATAAGTTAAAACTAGTATTACCTACCTTATATTTTCATAACCCTTTTCTGAAAGTAGTTTTACCAAATATTTATCTAAATCTCCACCTCCAACATCTAGTCTCATTATAGCTTCGGAAATGGCATATCCACTCAAAATAGGAACAACGCTAGTCACTCCATGACCACTCTCAACTATAAGACCTGCAGGACGACCTGAAATAAAATCGTCTATTATTGTACAATATGCAAATTTATAAATTCATATACAGAAAAATATAATATAATATAATATAATAAATAGGGCACACAGAGATAAACAATAGCATATACAGGGTGTCCCATTAGCCATTAGTCCAATATCGTCGTCGAGCGTCACTGATGACGCTTCTGGCTCCTTAAAATGCGTCCACTCTAACGGTTTTGGGTACTTTTTCTTATAATACTTTAAACAAGTATGGTAAAACAAACGGTAATATACAGTATCCCAATATTCCACGGACATAGAGCTACCGCGTAGGAATCAAAATAAGTTTATTGACACAATTTTCCTCTATACAGAAGTGCTTCATTTGACCGTATAGAGGGCATCAAACCTAAAAAAACATTCAAATATCTTAAAAACAGTTATTGCGATTTGAATGATATATTTGGGGTGCTATTGGGTTTTGCTAAACGCTTTAACATTTGGCCTTACCTTAAAATCAAGAAGGACCGGAAAGGTAAGAACTACCCCCACTCCTACATAAAGTTTAGAAGAAATATTTTCCAACTGCACCGACGACTGATTTTTTTCGTAAAATGGTTCTAGAATTTTTTGTCTCTTGTAAAAAAAACCCACAGCGCTTACTTCTTTAGAGAAAAAAATGTTTTTCCGAAGCTGAATTACAAAAAATATTTTTTGTCACATCAAGCTATGTAGACGCATAAAATCTAGTATGGGCTAATGGCTAATAATCTAGTTGGCAAAGATATGAAATGTTATGTTAGTGTCACAGATGGTTTTTGACAATAAGCTTCATAAATTTTAAGTTATTTAACCTCCGGATTTATGTTTAATAATGCCCTCTAACGGACAAATGAATCACTTTTTATAGAGCACATAGAGGTAAATTGTGTGCAATTAACTTATTTTGATTCATAAAATGCGAAAAGTTCCTGTATATTTATTAAATATACAAGAACTTTTTTTTTGGTAGGTTAAATATTATTTAACCTACCAAACATAGGTAATAAAGCTGTCGCATTTAGAAGTAGGTTGGATTTTTAGTCTGTATACAGGGTTGGCCAATAGTGCGTCGGGCATCTGTAGCTCCTATAATAAAAAAGTTAGGAATTTTGTTTAAGTGCAAACCTAAAGTATGCATTAGGATGTATTTCAGGAAAATATTTTAACCTCTACAGGGTGGCTTAAAAAAGTGTGAGTGGATAAGTAGGATTTTTTTTAAATAGAACACCCTGAATATTATTGCATTTTTGGCTTTTGGCTTCCTTTTTGATCACTTTACTTACTTTTTGATTACTTACTTAATTATGTTTATATTATATATTCAAAGGTATTAATAAATATGTAAAAAATTTTCCGTCTTTTTTGATTTTTTTTTTAAAATACAAGAAATGTCCTGAAATCAAAACTATATTAGGTATTTACTGTAGTAGGTCTGTACTTACTTCTTTTCAAATATCGTAATATTTTACCATACAGGGTGTTCAAAATTGTATGCCAAACTTTTTAAAATATAAAATAGGTTTTCTTCGTTTTTTTTTAATGGATCTCCCTGTATATTATTTTTTTAATGGGTGGAGAATTAAAAAATGAATACTTTTTGTATTTAAAGTATTTCAGAATTTTTAATGGTTTTTCGGACATTCATGGTATTATATTACATAATATATGGGATTTTCAACTGTAATTTTTTATCAGAGCCACCCAATTATTTTTGTCTCTTATTTTACCGTGGAAAGAGCCATATGTAATAAAACCGCGAATATTTACGAAACCGCTAAAAATTTTAAAATACTTTAAATGCAAAAAAATGTTCATCTTTTAATTCTCCATCCAACAAAGAAATAATATACATGGTATTCCATTAAAAAAAACGAAGAAAAAGTATTTTATATATTAAAAAGTTTAGCATATAATTTTGAACACCCTGTATGGTTAAAGATTACGATATTTGTAGCAAAGTAAGTTCAGACTCGCTACAGTAAATACCTAATATAGTTTTGATTTCAGGAAATTTCTTGTACTTATTTTCAATAATTTTTTGAAAAAAGGCAGAAAATAAAATTCTTTTTTACTTATTTATTATTTTTGAAACTATAACAACATACATATTTAATAATATCTCAGAATTATGTAAAGTGATCAAAAAGGATGCCAAAAATGCAATAATATACAGGCTGTTCCATTTAAAGAAATCATCCTTATCCACTCACATCACACTTTTTTGAGCCACCTTGTAGAGGTTAAAATATTTTCCTGAAATACATCCTAATGCATACTTTAGGCTTGCACTTAAACAAAATTCATAACTTTTCTATTAGACGAGTTACAGATGCCCGACGCACTATTGCCGGACCCTGTATAAAAGTTAGAGGCGAACGCTATGCAGTCGCATTACTGACGTCGGGACACTCCTGGGGTGGAACTCTGTAACTAAATAGCCATGAAGAATACTGACCTTGACCGTAGAAAATAAACGGCAAGCAAGTATTCTTCATCGCTACCGATCGCTATTTAGTTACAGTGTTCCACTACTGGCTCCTTCTTTAAATGCTCCTTCACTCTAGTTCTATGTCCCAGAAATATTGGGACACCCTGTATAATAAATGTTCTTTCTTTATGGTATTATAAATTTATTTAATATTGATTATTACCTGATGAATAAAACGTCAACACTGAATTGATTTCTTCGTACACTGCAGGAACATCAAATTTCTCGAACATCAACTCGGCAAGTTTCTCCTTGTCGCGTTGTGGATTTTTGGGACACTGGTTCAACAACACAGGATGTTCTGCAGGACTAACTCGCAGTTGCGAGACTAAAATGTGTTCAAAGAGTTTTTCGACGTAATCGAAGTTCTGGACGATTCCGTGTTGAATTGGATACGTGAATCTATCTCGCTCTAAAGCTTCTTCTCCAAAATTATAGGTGTCGTCGCAACTGGATAGGGCCGTAGGTATGGTACAAGAGGGGTATTCGTTTTCAGCTAGGCCCGCCTTGGTTTCGCCAGAACCCATGTCGATGACAATGGTGGGTTTTAAAAGAGTAGACATCTTGTTGGAGGAGGTTTTTTATCCTGTAATATAAGAATAGCAAAAATGAGCTCATTTATAAATTCTTAATTTAATTAAATCGTACCTAACAAATATAACCAGAATACGCAAGTAAAATCAGTTTTACTACGTTAAAATTTGTAGAAAGTACTGGGCATTTTTATACAGGGTTCGGCATTAGTGCGTCGGGCATTTGTAGCTCCTAGAATAAAAAACTTGAAAATTTTGTTTTAGCCCAAACCTAAAAATGTGTACGAGGATGTATTTCAGGAAAATATTTTAACTTCTATAGGGTGGCTCAAAAAAATGTTAGTGGATCGGGATGATTTTTTTTAATGAAATACGCTGTATATTATTGCATTTTTGGTTTCATTTCGGATCACTTTACTAAGATATGAGCAAATCTATTTCGATAGTTTCAGAGATATTGTTAAGGATATGTGGCGCCATCTATCGGAGAAGCGAGGAACTAAACCGTAACGTGTCAAGAAAAATGGCGAATTCGCCAGTAAACAAAAGAAATACTACAGAATTCTAGAATAGAATTTTTCGGAAGATCCACAGCTATATTTTTATATAGCTTTCTCCTTTTCCTTTTTAGGAGCGCGTTCGGAGGTGGGACAGTTTTTGAAGTTTGATAATACCGCGTTTTAAATTGTGAATTAATTGGCGAAGGTGCCAGAAATTTAGAGTAATAGTAGTTGCATAAATTGTGTTTTATAATCAGTATAAATTGTGTGTACAGAGTGAGATAATAAATTCGTTAAGTATTTTATCGTGAGTTTAAATTAGTGGACCCACGGAATCCGTAACAATATTAATAAATAAATAAAAAATATATTTTTTCAGCCTTTCTTATAAAAATTATTGAACAGATCTACAGGGTTATTCACCACATACGACACGGAGTATTGTAGCTAAACGATTAGATTTTTACAAATTGTAAGTTTTGGGTTCGTTGAAGGACTATTAAAGCTACAATTTAAAAATATTTTTACAAGATACAGAGTGTCCCAAATAAGTAAAAAATATTATAGTTGTATTTTTTTAAATAGAACAGCCTGAATATTATTCTATTTTTGGATTCTACGATTGAAATAAAGGTAAATTTGATTAAGGTTTATCACACTTAAACCTTACCGTTTTTGAAATATTTTCAATTTTATGTAATTGCAGAAAAAAATTTAAGGATTTATTTCTCCAAGGGTATAAAAGTTTTTAATACTAAATATTTACTGAAGATTATTTATTAGTCATATATTGTGTTGCAATAATAAAAATTTTACGACCTAATACAGAGTGTCCAAATTTTTTTATTAAATAATTACTAGCTTTAAACGGCAATAACTTGTTTAATTTAAATGGAACACCCTATATATTTTACGTGAATCAGATACATAATGTCTATCAAAATTGTCTATCAAATTGTATTGTTCCATTTTTTACCCATCTCTTCAAGTTTTCATAGAAAATGCATTTTATAATAGTTTAGACCTCATTTATCACTATACCCATGGAATATTGACATTTTAGCTTATTTTTAAAGATGTAACAAATTTTCAAAGGGTACATATACTAATATTGTTGATATAGTTCGCTTATTTAATTAAAAAATAAAAAAAAACTGTTTAAATATTTTTTGTTAAAGAGGACCAAATAATATGATCCCAGTATTCAAACTACATTAATTGACTGTTTACGTTGTAGTGATAATTGTTCCAAATACTAAAAAACTGAATTTTGTGTGTGTATTACACAGTGTGGTAAAAAGTAACACCTTATAAATTTTATTTCATTTATTGACGAATGCTTATTTATAAAAACAGAGACATTAATTTTCATAACTTATTATTATATTGATTTCTGAGCCAAATCCACATTTATTTAGAATAATTTATTAATTAAAACAATTTAAAAGTATGTAATTAACTAATTTTTGGTGTTTTTGGTAGGAAATAATGGTGGTATATTTAATTGGTATACTCTTTACAAAGATTTAAATAGTTTTTTGTATGCCAATGGGCATGCAATATTTACCACCTGTACATTTTGTACATATTATGGTGCTATAAAAAAATCTGAAATGTCAATATTCCATGAGTATAGTGATAAATGAGGTCTAAATTATAACAAAATGCAATTTCTACGAAAACTTGAAGAGATGGGTAAAAAATGGTATAATACAATTTCATAGACAATTACATTGTGCATCTGATTCACGTAAAATATATAGGGTGTTCCATTTAAATGAAACAAGTTATTGCCGTTTAAAGCTAGTAATTATTTAATATAAATTTTTGAACACTCTGTATAAGGTAGTAAAATTTTTATTATTGCAACACAATATCTGATCAATAAATAATCTTCAGTAAAGATTTAGTATTAAAAACTTTGATACCCTAGGAGAAATAAAGCCTTAAAATTTTTACTGCAATTTCATAAAATTGAAAATATTTCAAAAACGGTAAGGTTTAAGTGTGATAAACCTTAATAAAATTTACCTTTATTTCAATCGTAGAATCCAAAAATAGAATAATATACAGGGTGTTCCATTTAAAAAAATACAACTATAATATTTTTTACTTATTTGGGACACTCTGTATCTTGTAAAAATATTTTTAAATTGTAGCTCTAATAGACCTTCAACAAACCCAAAACTTACAATTTGTAAAAATCTAATCGTTTAACTACAATACTCCGTGTCGTATGTGGTGAACAACCCTGTATATTAGGTATGTACTTTAGATGATCTGTACTTACTTTTCAATAAATATGGTAATCGTAAATCATACAGGATGTTCAAAATTCTACTCCAAACTTTCTAAACTATAAAATCATTTTTCTTCACTATTTTTAAATGGGACACCCTATATATTACTTTGTTATTAGATAGAGAGTTAAAAAATGAACATTTTTTGTATTTAAAGTATTTAAAATTTTTTATTGATGTCTGTCAACGGTAAAATACGAGAGAAAAATCATAGGGTGGCTTTGATAAAAATTTACTGTGAAAAATGCCGTATAAAATATAAAACCGCAAATATCTGCGAAACCGTTAAAATTTTTTAAATAATCTAAATACAAAAAATGTTCCTTTTTTAATTATCTATCTATTGAAAAAATAAAATACAGGGTGTTCCATTTAAAAAAAACGAAGAAAAATTATTTTATATTTTAGAAAGTTTGGTGTAGAATTTTGAACATTCTGTATGATTTACGATTACCATATTTATAGCAAAGTAAGTACGAACCATCTAAAGTAAACACCTAAAATAGTTTTGATTTCAGGACAGTTCTTCTATTTTTAATAATTTTTTTAAGAAAGGCTGAAATTTTTTTTATTTATTAACTAATATTTCTGAAACTATCGAAATATATTTACCCATATCTTAGGAGGGTAAAGTGATCTGAAAGAAAGCCAAAAATGCAATAACATACGTTCCATTTAGAAAAAAGTATCCCGATCCACTCACACTTTTTTGATCCACCCTAGAGAAGTTAAAATATTTTCCTGAAATACATCTTAGTACATACTTTAGGTTTGAATTTAATTTTAATTAATTAAATTTAAAATTAACTATTTTTAGAATGATAACTTAGAAAATTGAATTATTACTTAAATCAGCAGAAGCCAATAAATTTACCAATGTTAAGAGTTTTTAATAAAGCTACAAGTGGTATGGCAACAAGACCAGTCAACAATATTTGGAGATCTAGATCTAGACAGTACTCTCAACTTACATTGCCATGAATTAACAAACTCCAAGTTTTCATAAACCGCTGTCTGCGAAAAATTGTAGGATGGCCAAATACTATCAGAAATGAGGATTTATGGAGCTTGGCCAATCAGAGGCAGGTGTATAACGAGATCAAACTTAGGAAATGGAGGTGAATTGGTCACACTATAAGGCGGCAACAACATCATCGTCCAAGAGACACATGGCAAAGGACAATTAAAAAGGAGATCGAAGCAGTAAACCGATCATGACGAGATGTCAAATCAATTGCCAACAACCGAACCCGCTGAAGAACGTTTATTGAATCTCTATACTCCACGTATGAGTAAAGGACAAAATGAATGACAAGTGGTGTGACAATTTCGATGCTCAGCATTGATATCTCGAAAACTACGAAAGATACGAATTCGGTTAAATGAGACAAATTACCTGTCAAGAAAATCTCGGTATCTTGATTAATTTTCGATTTATGTATGAAAAAATAAATAAATTAATTAATTTAAATGAAAAAATCTTTAGAGCTGTTGTATTTATTCCAACACGTATCATTAAACACTTCTTCATTTGTAAACATTTGGTTGACTTTAGTAACCACAGAGGTAATACCTATACTCTATACACATGTACTACACAATTTTTACGGATCTCGGTGTAATTCAGTACATAAAAAAATAATTGCTGTCCTATAAAAGTGCCAATTGGATAAGCAATCAAGGAGGAGCATATTTTTTAAAAAGAACTGAATTTACTAGACACTTTGAATCAAAATTGATTGATTAAAGGATCAAAATTGGATTTAACCGTATAGATTTTTTGGCTCTATCTAATAGTATAAAATTTCAAGGGGGTGAGCCACTTTTGAGACGCACCCGGTATAGCCAAAGCAAATCTGAAAATGAATACTTTATGTGAATCCTTAAAAATCGAATTTCTTGGGCCAAACTACAGAATATATCTAGATATCTAATTACACTCAATGCATTTTTTTTACAAATCAGTTATAATAAAAAATATATCCTATAGAGTAGGGTTTCCGGAACCGGAGCTGCTTTCCGGAACCGGGTATTTCGATACCACGCCTCTTAGGAACCGGGTTTTACCGGTTTTTTCGGTACTTTCAGTACTGTCATCAATCAGAAAGCAAGGGATGGTTTTTCAAAGTAAAATGGATAGAAAATTGAGATTTTTAATGAAAATAATATCAAATTATTAAGTAATCAGTCATTCCAAAATTAACATGAACACAAGTGAAGAAAAAAGTATAGGTAACTTAAATTTCACATGACAGAACATAAACCAACTTAAATGAATTTGAGACAAAAGTCCTAAAATATTGAATTAAAAATGCAAATATATATTAAAACATAACATAATAAATATTATAGGAACTTCAAAAGAGAAAAGAAGCAAGAACAATAAGAAAAAGCATCATTACTTATTTAGAAGAGTTTGATTTCGACCACTA